ACATTCCGGTGAGTCAACATGACTCCCTTGGGAAGGCCGGTTGTACCAGAACTGTAGACGAGGAAGGCAAGATCCTCTTGAGGCTCTATCTGCACGCGGCCCACCAAAGGGCCGGATGTAGTGATTTGTTTCCAGTGGAGAAATTGGGACGACTTTCCAGGACCCAGCACGAGGATGTTCTCGATTGGAACATTCGTACGCGCCGCGGCCGCGATCGCCTTCTCAAGATGCGACTCTGATGTTACCAAAACCTTGGCTTCGGTGTCACGGAGTTGGAAAGCCAACTCATCGACAGTGTAACCAGGATTTGCCGTTGAGACGATACCTCCCGCGTAAAGCGTACCATATATGACTGGCCCGTAGTCGACGTCATTGGGAGAGTATATCAAAAGCACGTCGCCTTTCTTCCAAGAAAAGTGGCTGTAAAGGCCTTCACCGAACGTGCTTGCGGCGGTTCTGACCTGCTCGAGGGTATAAATACGCTCAGGATTTCTGGAGCATTTGTAGATAACTGCGACGAATTAGTATTCCACCGCAGAACATGGAGATGGGGCGCAAACCTTGAGACTCAGGGAAATCTCTTTTTGTTTCCAACATCAGCGACCACATATCCACATTGGGGATGGCGACGTCGGCGAAGGACGAACCGACCGGCATCTTGTCGGTCGCAATAAGACAAACTGTACCAAACCGGTCTGGCTGTATCAAGATTCAAGGATCTTGAGAGATAAACAGTTGTCAAAGAAAAGGCGAATTGTTAACATTTTGTATTTTGGCCCTCGACCGAGGGCCAACCAGTTTGTGGGATGCAAAGGGAATCGTAACCGCGTACGACAGTTGTTGGCATGTTTCCAGATCCAGCGAAGCCGACCTTCGAAAAGAGAATTCCACCGAGGCTTTGGAGAATCAACCTCTCGCAAAGCATGCAGGCGGCGCGGCGGACATTTCGTTCTAGATTTGCGACTTTAGAAGTATTTGGCCCGTGGAAACGGCGGCCTCGCGCCCGCCCCCGCCCCTGCTCCAAACCAATGCCCTCGAGGCAGAGTCAGGCCACAATGGCCAATGGCCACTTTTTCACATGTAGCTCTCCGTGCATAACCCCGCTGGAGAAGGCTGTGGGGAAACGCCCGCTCCCGCTGCCGTCCCCTTAGGAAAATAGACGCCGCCCGGGCTTGGAAGAGCCTAGATGCTTCGATGCAATAGTTGAGTTACCTCGAGTATGCTTTCTGGTGGATTTAACAGCGGACCACATTGAAGCTGGCTTTCTCGTGTCCTTTTTCTTGTTCCAAGCCTATTTTGAAAGGATACGGATCCTATCAGCAAGAGTACAGAAGATGGAAAATGTCCACATGATGCAAATTTGCCTGAGTGAGCCATCCATTGCCAGAGAAAGCATTCCCATACAATCACTTAGGTACGCAAATGGTTGACATTCAACGGAAACCACTTCATATACAATGGGAATCACAGTGTACAACTAATCCTTTGACTGAGCAACAGCTTGATCACCAGCCTTCCGTAAACCTCCTGTCGGCTGCAATAGGAGGATAGCGACTTTATTTGCCGCCGTATTTCGAGATCCGTGCCTCACCAGCCGCGTGAATTGGCCATGGCGAATGCCGAGAACAGGCACCCTTGACGAGATGAAATCGCCCCGCTCAAAACTTGAAGTGCCGATGCTCAAGCTCTTCGCTGGATGTTTCGGTGAAATATGGAGGTTCTGAATGGTGACCCGACCAAATTTATGCTGGCAGACTTGGAAAGTAGAGACTGAAGGCAACATAGTCGAGCTCCCCAGATGCCATGATCCTTGTCCCAATGGAAAGCGTCCAAAGTCGAGCACTCGGGTATGGTGGTTGAAAAGGGCTAGAATAGTCGGGCATGCCTGGCACTGGGCAGTAGATAAGTGAAATCCTGAGCATCCTCCGGTATAAAGTTGAAAAAGCAGCGCACCTTTGGCTTGCCAAGGGTTCGAGACTCAAGAGGTCTTTCATATATCTGCCATTTCGTCAGCATGGCAGAGGACAGACAATCCACTACAAAGCCAGGTTTGTTTGGTGCCCTTGTCCATTCTCCGGGTCTCGTTGTGACATGATCTGGCTGTCAATGCTTTGAGAGGTGTTCGCCGGAGTGAAAGTCCAATGGTGCGGTCGAGGCGGCGCTCATTCTAGGCTTGGTGTAGGCGGTGATTCGGGCGGAGTTGTGGCATTCCATTCGACCCATCTGGCACTCCGCATTGTTCATCCCGCCGTCGTCGCATACCCCAGTCCCCACGCGCCCTTCGCTCACAGACGGGCTGCCGTCAATAAGGCTCTTTGCGAACAATTCAAAGCCGTAAGTTCGAACCCCTGGCGCGGAAATTGCATGCTTAGAACGGTTATTTTGCCGTGATTCCTCTCAGATGTATAAAATTTCAAGATATAGTGCGCCATCACGCATTCGGAGAACGCCCCTTGATATACCAACGGGAAACACACCTGGAGACTGAAGAACCACTTGATTTAAGGACTTAAAGCATCAACTTCTCGAAGCAGCACTGATATTGACGTCGTTCATTTCGAAATGCGGCCAACTCTCGTTCTGCGGGATCTCAATCGAGCCGGCACCATCGGGTTCATCGGCCTTGGAGCTATGGGGAACCACATGGTAGGCGACGCTTCAGAGAGAGAGAGATTGTGTCCTCAGGGACTAATACCATCCTCCTAAAAGCTCAACAATCTTGTGAAGAAGTCAACCTCAAAGCGCAAGTTTGCTCTTTTCGATGTCAATGAGGACGCGATGGACTCGGTCATCCAACGTCATAAAACGGAGCATGCGGCGGTGTCAATTTCTCGATGCGCATGTAAGCTAAGACGGAAGAGATCAGAATGGCAAAGACTGACTGACTCCACATTGCAGCGCCGATGGAAGTTGCGATGAAAGCCTCGACGATTATTAGCATGGTTCCCACATCGAAGCACGTCCATGATGTCTATCTGGGGGAAAAGGGTGTCATACAGACTCTGAAAAAGCTCGATCAAGAGTCGCGGAAAGAAACACTGTGCCTCGATGAGTCTACCATTGAGCAGAGTGTTAGCAAGGCGACCGCCCTGAAGTTGCGAGAGACGGGCGCTGACATGATGGATGCACCCGTGTCGGGAGGTGCGTCATCGTGCAATGCTGGCAACTCTGAAGCTTTGCAGTGCCATACTAATGTTCGTGTAGGAGTCGTCGGCGCCAGAGATGGCACCCTCGCCATCATGGTCGGAGGAGACGAAGCAAGCTTCCAACGCGCTCTACCAGTCTTGCAGCCCATGGCCCGGAAAGTCACATACTGTGGAGACCTAGGCGCTGGCCTCGCAGCTAAGTTATCCAACAAGTGAGTTGAGCACAACCACAGAGCTTGTAGAATACTTGGCTAACATATCCTGTCTCCAGCCTGCTGCTCGGTATCACCATGCTCGGGTTAAGGTATGCTCTCCCTGAACCACCTCCGTCTTTCACTTGTCATTACTCACCGAGCCTAGCGAAGCGACACTCTTGGGAAAGTCACTGGGGCTGGATCCCCAGAAACTTGCGGACATCATCAACACATCTACAGGGCGCTGTTGGTCAAGTGAAGTAAGTGAACTGCGTCGTCGTCTTGCTTCTAACTCTCGTCCATTGTGACATGTCTCCAAGCATATCGCAAGAGAAATGGGCACCTTGCTATGGGTATTGTCGCTGTTTCACGCAGATGATGAAATCATTTCCAATGGTCTTTCTTGTCGTGTATCGCTGCCGTGCTGACCTGATAATCAGATCAATCACCCTGAGCCCCTCGTTACCATTGAGAATCAGTCCCCTCCAGCCCACCGAGACTACCAAGGCGGGTTTGTCACCAAACTGGCCCACAAAGACCTTGCTCTCGCCGTGAATGCAGCCAAAGAAGCACATGTCCCTCTGGAGCTGGGTAAACGCGCAGAAGAAATATACAGGCCGCTGGCACAGGGTGAAGAGTTTGGCAACCGTGATTTTAGCTCTGTCTACAAAGCAATTTCTGATATGATGGCGCGGGATATGCCATAGAGCAATCCGGATACCAACGCGTTGAGTCGTTATCAGTAGAACATGTTACATCAACAGTCACTGCAACTGTTCTTGGCCAGACAATGCATAACGTAGACCCTGATGCCCAGGCAGCATACTTTCGACCGTCTGCAACGGCTGCCACTTTTTCTAATCGCACCACCCTTTGGGCGGCAAAATATTTCGTTGAAGACTCCAATTTGACACGTCCATAGCCGCGTTCAAAGCCCTTGCCAAGGAACATTCTGACCAAATGAGTCCCAGTCAGGGTGTAAATGACCCCTGATCATTCGCTCCTGAATAAGGCATAGCCTCAATGGAGTTTCTCGGGTTTGTGTAAGGTGGGGGCTTGCGGGCGGGCGGGAATGTGGCGGAGCGGCGCCGCCGCCTCCGCCTGCTCGAGCTGTCCTCCTCTAGAACACCTTGGATGCCTAGATTTGTCACAGCTCGAGACTCAGCTGTGCTGTATCCATTTGACCGATCTATGGAGCGGATCCTTCCGTAAAACTCTGAGGGGCTCGGTTTTGGGATACCAGACAGCCTGCAATGATCGCCGACTCATCAGCTCTTCATTTCTCAATCAAGGCTACGAACCAATGTCACCCAGTGCACATTGTATTCTGTAGAAGTGCTAGCTCTTGTAAAATCTAACCATGTGCTGATGCTTGGTACGCGAATACTGGCCATGAGCTGACAACCTGTGTCTGTTTGGGAATATGTGCGTTGTGGTTATTGATGATTTGACTCAAATTTTCCCTCCATACTTTCGCTATTCTCATATGGTCTACGTAAAAGAATGGCCAACCCCTTCTAACATTTCAGCTTCAGGACGTGTTTCGCTCAAGCTACGTCCAGGATGCCCCGTCTGTGAACTGATTTTCCGACAGGTCTCAACAATTTCCCAGCGGCAAAGCTCTTCCGACTGCAAGAGTCGGCTTTGAAAACGACGCCCATCATAGTCTTGACCCCCCAGATTCCACAACAAGCTTTGGTACCAACTTGATGGGAGTTGCGAAATTCGAGAAGTTGGGAGAAGTCTTCTGTACGTGCAAATGGAGCTCTTCGAGCTTCTCGCTCGGCGCGTCTGCCTTGATCCGTACCGTATACTCTACTTCATTGTATCCCGCCTTGGTTGTTCCATCGAGAGCGAGGAAGCCACGCAGGTTGAGATCTCCTTGACAGACAATTTCCAGGTTTTCGAGTTTGATCCCCATGGCCGCTGCATTCACGGCGTATCCGACGACCATACATGAATTGAGACCCGCCATGAGTAGATCTTGGGGGTTGGGCGCGGTGTTTTCCCCAAGCAGCTCGAGTGGCTCATCCGCCAAAATATCGAAGTCCCGCTTGCGATCTTTTCCGAAGATGTTGTGACCGGAGACATGAGAGGTAGATTTGGCCTGGCCGGTCCATTTCGTTGCGACTTTGAAAGTCACTTGTGGGTTGATTTTGGCCGATTCCGCAAACGGACCGATCGAATCTGTATTGAACCCGTTCAAGACAACCATTTTGTGAGTATTCATACTGCGTGCTCTGAGCTAACGACAATCAAAGAAATGTGGTGGCACCTATCTACAATCCGAACAAGAGGCGTACACCTACTTTTATACATTCTGTTTTCGCCTGACGACAGGGTACCCCGCATTCCTCCAGCGTCGTTTGTCTCTAATGCATATGCATTGTGCCCGCCTCTGGCTCCACCCCGCCTTTTCAACGGTAACCCACTCCGCCTTGCCGCCCCCTACTAGCTGCCTAAACCCCGCCTTAGCCAATCAAGACAAGTTTCCTTCTCCCCAGAGCATCCTATGTGAAAAGAACTTGGGCGACGGGGTGGGAGGAGCGGGGTTCGATTCATGCTTGTCATTGCATTCCAAAGGAGAACTTCGTATCGTATGATGTTTTACCCGGGCTTCCTGCGTCTGTCGGAGAACCCCCACAACCGATAATCTCTGATCTCACGGTTGGGCGCATCGAACACACGAGGCTCGCGTGCGTCGACTGTAGTCCCGCCAAGGCCGAGAGGCACTGGAATAGATCAAGCAGTATTGATAGTTGCACTCGGTTGGACAGAGAGCTAAGTACCAGCTCCTCTGCCAGTGGCAATCTACATGCTTTTTTGCAAACGTGAGGTTGCAATGTTTGAGACGGCTCTCTATAATCAATAGTCTAACACGAATTCTCTGGAGCTGTTTGCTGGTAATCACCGCGGATCAAAGTTTGCTCTTCCCGTCTGCCATCCGTATCAAGGCCCGACCATTGCTCAAGACCACCTTGTTGTTGACCTCGGTCACGAACCGAATCTCTCTGAATCCGTCCTTCACTTCTCCCGTCTTCCACATCTTGACCACAAGCTTGGAACCGGGTTTCACCGGAGCTGCAAACCGGGCCTGAAACTCTTTCATATTGGCTGGGTCACTCTGGCCCAGGGTTTTCAGCAGCAGGTAAGCAGATGCATTCCAGCTGTACAAGCCGTGCATGATAGTACCGCCGAAACCCATTTTCTTGCTCGGTTCGGGTGTCGCGTGCAGAGGATTGTAGTCGCCGTTTAGTCTAAACGTCCGTTAGAAGAGCGGTTTTCATTGACACCGGGCTGAAAGAACGCATACCTGTAGAGATGTGCACTGTCTGCAGTCATTTGTAATTCGCTCACTTCGTCGGGGCTGTTTTCCCTTCCTCGAGGCGGTGGATAATTGATGGCTGAAGGGCCCTTGGGACCTCCCCAACCCCCCTGGCCCATAAAGAAAGCGCTGCCGATGGCTCTAGTGTAGACCTCCCCGGTCTGTTTGTCCACGAGCGACTGTTCCGTCTCAATAACCGTGCCTGGCTTACCCTTGTCGTAGGCGCCGATGACCTTTGTACGGAGCGCAAATTGTCGACCCACCGAGGTTGTGGGCAGTGGTTTGAGGAACTGCATCATGCGCTGTCCATCGACCATCCGCGTCCAGTCGAGCTTCGGCACTCCAGGAATACTATTGCTTCCTTGAACTTCGTAAAAGTCGGTGACTTCGGAAGTATTGCCCTTGTAGGTGAAAACGATGGGAAAGGTTGGAAAAGCCGCAAAATTAGGGTGGTTCTCCTACGAGGCTTGTGTCAGCTCTGCCTCACGATTAGGCTACCCATACTAACATAGAGAAAATGTAGTTCATCTTGAGAAGTGCAGCCAATACTGATCGCGAACAACAGAATGTCTCTTTTCTCCCATGACACGTCGGCAGAATACTCGTGACCAACACCCGGGCTAGACATGATTCTTGCGCTTTGTTGACTTAGAACGAAAAGCTGAATTCCATTCAATTGAGACAGCAGCCGAGTTCGAAAAGCTCCAGTCCTTGGATTTAAGTACGATTGATTTATTGAGAAGGGTGGGTGGTAAGTGTGGCGACCATGATGCGGCGGGCTCCATTTGCGGGCTCCGCCTCCGCCTCTGGTGTCGCAGCTGACTCCCCTACAGGGCATCGTCTCACCTCATGCCGAGGCAAGTCATGTATCCGCCGGAGCCTGGCCTTTAACCAAGCCTTGCATTGTCACCAAAAACTTCATGGGCTGTTGCTTTACAAATACCCTTCCCTGCCGCTTGCTCGATGTGCTCTGCATTTCAAGTCCCCTGTAATTCCACATCAAATCCATACCTATTCTCACAATGCCGCTTCGAGCCAAAATACGAGATCCTGCGTCGGCTTTGGGCCAGACGGAAACGGACAGAGTATGATCGTAGGACATTACGAAGATATACGCTGACAAACACGACAGATTTCGGTGGAGGAAATGACAGAGATCCAACCATTGCCAGACGATGAGAAAGATGACGTTGTTTTCAAGATACGTGGAACCGTCGGAATGATCCAACTAAATCGACCAAAGAAGCTGAATTCGCTCAATGGATCGATGATACGAAAGATTATCCCAGTCTTGAAGGTAAACTGGCCCCCGAATATGTCACTGTTTGCCCCGGTTAACGTCTACCACAGCGATGGGAAACGTCTGATCTAGTGAACTGCGTGGTTATCTCCGGCGCAGGGGGAAAAGCTTTCTGCGCAGGCGGAGACGTCGCAGCCTTGGCCCTACAAAACATCAAAGACGGACCTCCAGGTCAAAGAGAGTCCACGGAATACTTCGCGGTTGAGTACAAGCTTAATCATCTGATAGCGACCTACACAAAGCCGTACATCGCCATCATTAACGGGATCACCATGGGTGGGGGCATGGGCCTTTCCTGCCATGCGCCCTTTCGGATCGCCACAGAGAAGACTCTTTTCGCGATGCCCGAAACGGACATTGGGCTCTTCCCTGACGTTGGCGGCGGATTCTTCCTCTCACGATTAGACGGCGGGATAGGCCCCTACCTAGCCATAACCTCCAGTCGATTGAGAGGCATCCAAGCCTACTACGCCGGCGTTGCAACCCACTACACGAAATCTTCCACCATTCCTGACCTCGTGGATCAACTTGTAACAGTGTGCGCAAAGTCACTGACTCGAGAAATGTCGTGTCCAGAACGACTCAAAGTTCTCAACGCCTTTCTTACCCAATACTCGACGTCAACACCCCACGACGACCCAATTCAGCTTGCAGGAGAATTGCGTTTGTGCATCGACGAGGTTTTCAGCTTGCCCACCACCGTCTCCCAAATCCTTGATCGTCTTGCGGCCATTTCTGAAGACGGCGCCTCATCCAGACCCAAACTCCTTCGTGACTGGGCCGCAAAAACTCGCCGAGCGATTGTGGAAGGCAAGAGTCCGACGTCGATGGCTGTCACCCTTCGTCAGCTTGAGTTCGCGCAACAATGGGACATCAAGGAGACGTTCAAAATGGAACACATCGTCGCTGCTACTTTCATGAGGCACCCCGATTTTGTGCAAGGGGTCAAGTCGAAACTCATTGACAAACCCGCCTCGAAGCCCACATGGGACCCGCCGACTGCAGGAGAGGTTCCGAACGGTGTGGTCGACAAGTTTTTCCAACGTCCAACTGGGCTACCAGCTTTGAAACTATTTGATGAGGAGCACAGAGAAAATTATACTCAGTATCCTCATGCGTGGACGGCGCTTCCGTCAGAGACGCGCATCCGGGAGTTGCTGAAAGCAGTACCGATGGACGACTCGCCAGCGCAAACACTTCGCGAAATCGCCAGGCAACTGGGCAAGGACACTGGAAACATCGCCGGCGTGTATCTAAAGGTTATGGATGTGTGGTCTAGAGTAAATATGCCTCGAGTCGCGGTGTGAAACGATGCCGCGTGAGACCAGTTGCCGGGCTGCCTCTGCGATGGCAGCTTGCAGAGTCATCGTAGGGTCATCATCATTAGCCGGGCTCGCAACCAATGAATTGGTAAGATTTGAGGTTTCCAAAGTATATTGTGAGCGAGCAGTCGGAAAGAGCCCCACGGGGAAAACTCTCTACATGACGGAGGGGCGGGGTGTGATGCGTAATAAAAGGCGGACACGGGCCTCCCTCCTCCCACCTCCCCCCCGGAGATCCCCTCCTTCCCTTCTGCTCTCTCAAACACACGTACATAGAACGCCACCCAATGTTGTTGCAGTTGGCACATGGCGTGCTCACATTGTCGGCAAAGGTAAAGTTCCTCGCGGCGCCGCTCGACGCTCAGGACTAATGCAGAAGTAGAAAGCGGCGCTGTGATGGCTCCAAGCCCACCTGTGGCACTTGTGCCGCCAAGGGGATCAAGTGCATCTACTGGGAACGAAACAAGAGCTCCGAGTACGTCTGAGAGCAGATCTGAGGTGGCTCTGATTGACCATTGGTAGGATTCCACGTCCAGTGTCTTCACCTGGGTCGGGGCCCGAGTCTGTCCGCGTGATCGAGAGCCTGATTGAATCGCACACGAACGCTCTGAGAAGCCTTCAGAATTCGATAGGGTGTCCCACCTCGGAAACCAACCCTTTGACCGTGTCGGACAGCGCTCTCACCGATGCCACGGTGCAAGATGAATCGCTCCCCGGGATTAGCTTTGATGCCGCTGCCAGGCGCCACCCTCTTTTCAACCACCGGCGGTTTACCTCCTTGGAAACGTCTCAATACTTTCGAGAAGAAAAATCCGAGTTCCCGCCGCTGAGCTTCGCCTGGCATGGCAGCACTCACACCAGTACTAGCTTGGAATCCCGAATTCGCTCTCTGACGAAAAAGGTGTGGGACGACGGCCAGGACGATACCTTCCAAGGAGGAAGCCGAATTGATGTTCATGAATCATGATCTGAACGAATCGCAGTATTGGTCCGTCAGGATTGAGATACGAGAAGAGAATCTGAAGACCCCATGTGATGAGCTCTGACTGTTGACGGGCGAGAAGAGAAGAAGTGGGTTTGGGTGAAGACAGGCACACATTTGACAAATGGTTTCAATCGCAGTGACAGGCGCTACGGCTAGCTTTTGATATTGACCAGAAAATCGACCTTTTCAGTGCAGATAAGAGTCTCTATGTTAGCAGTATGACCTTCTGAGATTGAGAACGACAAAAGCCCATATTTTCTGAGCGATAATGGCCATATAAAGTGGAAAAGGAGGCCTAGACCTTCTCTAATGATTTACTATTGACGACTTGTCATAACCAGAGCGGCCATAAATTGGAGAAACAGTTAAACAGGACATGTCGAACTATTCGAATACTAGGCCTGGCTTTGAGCGGGTATGGAAGATGCCGACAGATGCCGAGAGATCGCCGCTTATAAGGCTAATCTAGAAGAGCCAAACTACACAGGCCAAGCCAGCGACAAAAGTCCAGACCCCTCGCTTGTGCAAACTTAAAGACCGGAAGAGGGTCGAGGTCCTTCCGTAGTACGGAGTACTTCTCGCCAAATTTCCACTCACGTGTCCACAAAGCGCAAGCCACGTTTCTCGAAGACCTGCATTTATCTTGCTCCTTTTTCCTCTGCTCCGTACGACCTAACTGCTGTCAGGAAAAAGGGATCCGGTCTCTCCTTTAGTGGTCTGCGTTCACCAATAAGACTCTCGAGACTATGGCCACGGGCATTTCTTCCAGAGCGAACAAGACTCGTCTCGCCTCACGCGATCTTTTTCGGTCGGAAGCATTCAGATCAGCCAGCCATCAGTATCCACTGTGGCCAACGGTCTTGCTTGTGGAGTACTAATCTGATACTCATCATGGCGTTCAAGTCGAGCCCTCTTTACGACTGTGCTGATTCTGCTTCACGTTGGTGTTAGGTAGGAGAACTTGTGCGTGTCAGTCCTTGGTGTGCTTTCAGTTTTTCCCTGCACTACCTAATCCCTTCTCTTCTTGGATTTCCATGGGTGAACAGGAGGAAATCCGTGAAGCGCCTCGGACAACGGTGGAAGATGTGACTCCCGAAGATACTATCTTTGTCAACCAAGAACATGCCGAGCGTATGGATGGCGCCTTCCTCTCTATAGTCTTGAGTGCATCCATTCCATGTGGCCTGGTAATTATCGTCTCGGCAATCTTACTTGGAGTCATCTACGGCTTCGAAGTCGACCGCAATCGAGGATGGCCCCAATTACTACTCGCCCAGGATGCTGGTGGCCAGCTGGGACTGTGGGCGACGCTCAACGATTGGAAAAAGACCGGAGGTGATGCGGCTATATTTGTCGACTTTAACCCTTCCTCACTTACTGCAATCGCCTCTTTGACCGGGAAAATCATTCCGTACCTGTCGAGCTCGATCATGGCGCTTGTTGCCTTCTTTGTCGCACGGCGCGTTATTCTCATATCTCAGCAAGGAAAGAATCACGAGCTTCTCTCGCCTCATCAAATGTCCATCTTGATCGGACTCCTCGGCGGTAACAGCTACGGACCCTTGAAGGATTGCGTTCACTACCACGTCAAGCATAAGAAACGATGGTTAGCCCCAATCCCGCACGCGTTCTCAGCGCTGGCAATTGTAACGGCGTTGGCGTGAGTGGTCCTTGTACGACTTGGAAGTTTAGACACTGACTGGCTCACCAGACTCGTCATCCCCATTGTCGATACCTGGTTTGCCACGACCGTAACTCCCGGTAAAGTCACAGTGGTGAAAAAGTTTGACGTTGAGAATGCTACGACTTATGGCCGTGGCACCAACTACACGGTTGATCCCTACTATTCGCTGAACGCAGACAATTGCAATTATGACCAGTGGTACTCTAACAATCGGGTCTCAGGTTTTGAATTTCCATGTAATGCATTGTGGTGGGACCAGAACAACACGGCTACAGGCAATGATAGTACCTTGACGAACACGACGGAGTGGGACTACAGCATTCTCAACATCAATGAAATCTCCGAAACTATCGCCAACCAGTCCAGCAAAAATAGCATCATGATGTGGCCACCACAAAACCAAACAATAAACAGCCATTACTTTCTGACTGCCCTCAATCTTGACACATCAGTCGACTTCCGTGCAAGTACGTTTGCAGTCAAAACTCAATGTAAACCCATGACAAGCACCTGTTTCCCTCAGACTCCCAGCGAGCTTGCAGAGAAAAAGCTCCAAGGTCTCAGTGCAACTTATTTGGGCGACGATTACGCCTTCCATTGTAGCTCTGGCTTCACTGGTGATCTGAGGTCGAATGGAGTCAGCGTGGCAACAGGCCTCCGTCAGAGCAGCACGACTTCGATGGGCATCGGATTTGCCCCAGATGCCGCCCTCAGTAGCATGATCGGCAGCAGTGCGAGTAAACTGGAATTTGGTGCCTATACAAACCCTCTGTATTTCGGTGCCTGGTCGGTAGGCTTTAAAACTCTCAACGGAGCACTCAAACTCTCCGAGGTCACAGACCCTTGGGAAGACGATCCAGAGATCTATTACGATCAATACAACAAATTCGCATGGATGCTGAATTGCAGCTCTTCCGTCTATCAAGTCAGCTACGACTGGGTCAACGGCACCATCCAGCGTTTCGACACCACCATGGTCAGTGACCCGCTCATCGGCGGCGTCGTCTCTTATCCATTTGTTTCTGGGATAAATGTCGCCCACAGCTGCATCGAGTGGGCGACCATCAAAGTCCAAAACTCCAACGGCTCGAAAGGCATAAGTCACGACTGGGCAGAGTATTTCTCGTCTTGCGCCATATCCATGCTTGCTTCGCCACTGCAAGGCATTCCGCCTGTCTTGGTGCAGACCAGAGACGACGCCTATGCCGCCACGCGCGTCCCCATTGTGCCACTGTTCGCCCTACTGGCCTTTAAGTTTCTATACTGTCTAGCCGTATTTATTCTGGCCGTGGCTGCGTATAAATTCACCAACCCCTCGGAGACGCAGTCCGTCAAGGAGAGACTCTCAGTCAAAGGCCTCGCGGCGACCGCGTTCGCCGACGGTCCAAACCACCAACAAGTTGCAGTTAAGAACGTCGAACAGCTATTCCAACCACCAGCTCACGAAGCTTCTGACGCCGAAGCTGCCACCCCGTCAGATCAAAAAGTCGGCATGGTAATGACCAAAGCTGGCGGGTGGGCGTTTGTCAAACTCGCAGCCGGCAAAGTGTATGATGCAGTCTCTCCCATTTTTGAGAAGGAATTGATGCAGGAAGCTAACACTGGCGCGTTTGGCACTGGAGGAAAAGAAGTGGCCAATTGGGTTTCTCTGGTTAAATAAATATTGCGATTATGAGAATTGATGGAAGCGATACAGAGTACTTTGTGTGGTTGGAACAGGTCGTTGACGATTTGTATGGCTACGGAGAAGTGCGTAGAATAATATTAATAATATCATTCTACACTGCGTAGCACAATCTTTTGTTGTCTACGAATATATTGCTTGCCACACAAATTGAAATCGCCAACGACCGTTCTCTCTCTTCAGTAGTCATGAATGACGATAGAATAGTCCTGTATCATTGATTGCTCTTTCATCTCGAAGCGAAAGATTCTGTCTACTATGACGTTCACTCCCGTATTCGACACATTACTCAGGAATACTCGGAATGAATTACGTGGATCCTTACTCTCCGACTGTCGATTCCAACGGTCGTTGAATTCATACTAACGATGGCTTTCACGTTCAATGATATTGATTCGATATAGGCGCCAGTACAACCAGATTCTGACCCTCAACATATGCCATGTACACGCCAGAGATCGAAGATGAGGCCAGCCTCGAACTACCTTGCCGTTCTCGGTTCCTATCCGTCCTACAACATGCGGTCGAGCCCTTATCACGCTTCTCACGAGGCAGCCAGTGTTTGAGAAGATAGCCACAGAGGATCTGAATATATGACCAGACAATGAAAAAACTCATAAAGAGAGGGAATTGAATTTGCACATAACAGATCTCGCAATGCGGTCGCAACCTGCCTTTGCACCACAACTGTGACGACATGATATACCGCTTGAGCCTCATGTACATCCCTCAGAGCGTTTTGCCTATCGACTTTTGCGGTATATTCTCGACGCGATCAGTACTTGAACACAAGCACGATACGAATCCCGAAGACCCAGAGATGGTCAAACACTCTTTGCAGTCTACGTCTTCTAGAAGATTCACGAATGAAACGACGACGCCGAGTATACATTAAGCCATCCTGTCCCTCTTATCCTAAGTTCGAGCGATTAGACCATGGCACATCGAGACAAGTAAACCACGCCGAATGACCACAAATACCACCCTGAAGCAGTAATATGAAGATCCTTCATCCACTTCTATCGGCAGTACTCGATTAATCAACGAAGCGGATCGCTGTGAAGGTATCAAGGAGGGAGAAAACGAAAATCCTGTTCGATGGAGTGACCGCTTATGCCTCTTTCCTGAGCAGGCCTTATGAGACTCAGCAAAGCACTAGCAAGCACTCTCCACTATCTCCTGTTAGTAGCGTAGACCATTTTCATGTAAGCCAATCAATGACCATTCTGTGATGGAAAACTGACAAAGATACAATGAGATTTAAATGTGGATGCGAAGAAAAGCTAAGATATCAAGATAAAGTCGTGCCTATAGCCTACGATCGAGCGTTTACGCTGTAGAATCGATCTTCAGCCCACCGTGCTAGTCGCACGCCACCACGGTCGAACCACCTGGTCGAAATATCTGAAACCCAGAACAGGAGAGGCAGAAAGAGGATGAGGCACAAGATGGCCCCAAGATATTCTGGTCCAATTCCAGGACCCAGCTCCTTCATCCGGCGGAACATGAAAAAGACAATTTTCCTACCGACCAGGTCAATCAGCCATGGATGCAGCAGATACAAAGAGAATGAGATCTCGCCAAGGTACTGTGGGATCGGCGACATGAAGAATCGTTGCAGGACAGGAGAGTGGTCGACGAGGAAGATCAGTATAACAGCAGCGATGCAGTGCCAGAAATTGCCAGCCTCCATTTTGTTTTCCACCCACGCGGCCGGTGTATGGGCATCTAGCCAGCCCGAGATTGGCGTGTCGCCATTTCCCCAATAGCTTTCCGGCTGAGAGAGGACGTAAAGCAGAGGCAGTAAGAGCAGGATTGAGGCAGATGCAGACAGAAAACGCCACAAAAAGCTCGTGTCGCCGCCGTTCGAGCCCGAATTTGACGAGGTCCTGTGATGGAGTTCGCACAGAAACGTTCCCGAAACAAAGAGGACAATGTCCCACTCGCCGACGCAGCAGGACCAGGCGATGAGAGCCGCGATTGCAGCCATCCGCTGTGCATGCCGAGCCTTCGCCACCACGAGAATGCAGAGGAAGACGACCATGGAGCCACGGAACTCGACCGGAATGGTCCACATAACCCGTTCCAGCTGGCGAAAAGAGCCGTTGAAGTACCATTTGTCAAGCCGGAGAGGGTTAACACCCGAGACAACCACTTTGACCCATCGCCATAGCATGATCCAAAAGGTTGGAGCGGCGCCCTTTGTGCCCCTGATATAGTTCGTGATGGCGCGCAAGAGCGTTATCGCGGCACACGGCAGATACAATCGGATGCCCCGTCGAAATGTGGACGAGACGAGAGTATCGAATATTTTCCCATGTTCTTGGGCTTTCGCGAGCTTCAGGGCCTTGTAGCTGATTGCGAAACCGCTGACGACGAAGAAGACCGACACCATGGATGAGCCTTCATAAAAGACGCGGATGATGGGCCATTGAAGAAAGTAGCCTCCATGTTTCCATCCGTGCCGTAAATCGTTCCAGCGTATCTCCGCGGCATGGCTGAAGAAAACGAAGAAAGCAGCCACTCCACGAATTCCATCGAGCCACGCTGACTGGTGTAGTTCACGCTTCTCTTTCTTGGTCAGTATATTGGGTCGGATTGCTGCCCAGAGAAGGCCGAAGATTGTAAGTAGTGCTGTGTGGATCTTGTCCAAGGTTGGGTTACGAATTCGACGTGAGGTTGGTTCTGAGCTTGATCAGCCTTGGGTTCTGTCACAGGGTTGATGCCATCAAAAACTCACTCAGATAACCCAACTCTACATCGCTGCTAGTTCTCGAAGATTCTGGAAGCAGGGCGACATAGTCAGGCCCATTGACCTGCCGAGAAGTCGGGAAATAGTTGGGCCATCTCCAAGACTGTGTGGTCTGAAGGATATACCTTTTCCAGGATGGAAGCATTCCGTTCGATTCATGGGGAGTCTTTTCAGAGAACATTGGGGTGAAAAATGAACGTTGCCTGGTATGGGACAAGCCCGTTCAGTAAGCAGGTATATAACGATCCGGCCATCGGTGTGGGATCCAATTCCGCAAGCTTCAAGATTAGCCATGGCAGTTTCTGGATCGATATCAATTTGCATCGTGAAGCGGGGTCCGGGTTTGCATAAGCCCGGTTGTTAGCGTGGGAAGTTGCTCATCTAGCTTCCCTTGCACAGTTCTACTCCAATCACCTCGATCCACACCGGACCGTACCTGCATACGCCCTCGGGTACAACAACGAAGTGGTAATTGTGAAGGGGCTCTCGTTGCCCCTCTTGTTCATGCTCGGCTCTCTTTCAGCCTCGCATTGATCGTTAGCTCACTCAATTTGCTAGCACATGCTTGAGAGGGGTGGCCGTCACTCGTTCCAGACCGCGAAACGGTCCCAGATGCTAGTCCGGAGGAAATGGCGATCCGACTTTATTCCCCGCAAGCTTGGATTAGCTAGAGCGAAAAATTGAGTAGGGATGATTTTGAAGATCCTCATTGCAAATGTTTAGCCCCTCTATCTCTTTGCCTCGGAAATTACTTTGATACAGTGACTGTGTTGTGCTCAATCGAGCAGAGTCTACTCTGGCAGCTGCTTACAGGGAGAACGAGATTAACTAGGGTTAGTATAGCAGGGCCCAAGCCTAGAACCAGCATCAAAAACATCTATCGCTACTCAATAAGTTGGATATAGGTAGAAACATCCTTAACCTTTGGGTGAGTTCTACCCCCTTGTCGGTTCTCTGTCGCTCAGGATGGCGGACCCCACGAATTCTTGGTCCTCGATTTTCCTTTTCGCTGGAAAATGTGCAAGGACATGACAGCGTGAGCCCTTCTCTTGCCTCAGGGGATCTACTCCGCGTCGGGCGACAAGATGCCGTCTTTGACCAGCCGAGAGTGTATGCGTCCAAAACGGGATCAATGAGGTCGACCACATCTGGTCCCGTGCTTGCATTCTGTCCAGATCGTAGTCTCTCACTCGTGTTCCAAAACCCTCCCGCCGAGGTCTTGGAAGAGCAAACTAATTTGCGTCGAGGTCCATCATGTATAAAGCTAGCTTCCATCCCGGTCTTGTGCAACCTCGAGATGATCCGAAGCGATTTAGACGTGTGGCGCAGCCGCTGGAAAGTAGTAAGGACTATTAAACGACGCTGGGCATTATCACATCGCAATCGTCCGAACCTAGACCCTACAGTCGATTTCCTTATCAATGAGACTTTTGTCGATGATGTCTTTGCATTGCCCACGACTTTCGACGATGAAGAGCAGATACCCATGTGCGTTGTCAACAACCAGGTTCCACAGCCCCTCTTGACTTGGCTACGGCTGGTACAGGAAGTGACGACACTTGGGCGGCGACGGCATGGTCATCGACCTATAGGTGACTATGCACGCTTTGCGCAAAGCCTTTCGACGCGCCACTGACGACTAAAAAGGTATCATCTCTCGGGCACTTAATTTTGGACATGAGACCTTGTTTCACATATACGAGCAAGCTGGATTACTCTACAGCTGTCAAGAGTCTGCATCCTACCGAAGTGTTTGCGCAGAATGAATAATTTCGGTATTTGCCAAATGCAGAACCTGAAAAGTTTTCAGCACAATCTCGTAGCGCCTCTTCTCCTACTGGGTACCGAGAGTCGCAACAATAATACACGGCAAACTTTCAGCCAGGCTGTACTGCTCCAAGTGATGCAATCGGCGATCTTCTACAAATACCTTCTGGCATTGGAGTTTCTTCGACGCTTCTGGAATACAGACTCGGTCGTTACGCCCGCCTGGCTCTCATTTGCTCGAGAAGAATATCCAAAGGGCCTGGACTTCGTAGCCATGCGAAATGACACGGGAACCCTGAAGCAAAACTGCGTGGCTTTGAGGTTGACGGAAGCCGCCGCAAGTCAACAGGCTTCTGTGAAGCATAATCTATGTAGAGCCCTCCTTATACGCTTGGAGCATCCCACGCTATATGTGTCTACGAGTGGAACTTGCACGGAAGTCAACACTGAATCGAGTCCGACACCCGAGTCGCAATCTACGCATAGCAGGGCGTACACTTGACTCCAAATACACTCGTTTGATCACCAGATATCAAGAGAAAGTTGCTTCCCTACACAACGTGACACACAGGTCATCAATGTATCGTTCATCCGTTTCTCATCCTCTGTCAAAACTGAATCACGATGATCAGGCACACCACTCAAAACCTTTACCTCACATGTACCACATACCCCCTTGGTACACGTGGATAGAATACCTGCTCCATTCTCATTGAGTACCTCTAACAGGGTTCGCTCTTTAGGAACCACGAGCGTTCGACCACTGCGAGCTAGGGTGACCATGAATTCAGCATTCTCTGCTGTATCCAGGTTGTTAGGATTTCCAAATCTTTCTGTCCTGAGAACATTCTTGGGGAGCGAAGAGCATATTTCTTCAACATCAGAAATCAGACTTTCTGGGCCGCAGCAATACACCAAAGAGCCCTCGGCAACGCTATCCAATGCCGAAGCGAGATCAAACCTCTTCTTTTGTTCATCCTTGGTCCAGATGATCGTTGTGGGATGTTGAGTGCTCAACTCATCCACGAATGCCATGTGTTTGCGCCTTTGACCCAGGTAGATTAGTTGATAAGGCTTCCCAGTAGACTTGGCCGTTGCTAGCATTGGCTTGAGAGGAGTAATACCGATTCCTCCTGCAATAAAGACATAACGATCCGCCGGCTCCAAAGCAAAATGATTTCGTGGACCTCGGAGCAGTAGTTCTTTCCCTTCATGAACATTTTCATGTATAAACTTGGTGCTCTGACTGTCCTTCTCTTTGAGGACTGCAATCGACCAACAATCGTGGTCTTTAGGATCAGAACAAAGGGAATATTGTCGATACCCAAACGTACCAATTTTGAGATCGATATGAGATCCTGGTGTCCATGTTGGTAGGAGTCCAAACTTCTTCCGAACAGTAATCTTGAGAATGCTGTCAGCTACTAATGTTGCCTCCTTGACAACCACAGTAATGCTGTTGTCCTGTGGACTTGAAAGCTCGATTGAATCTACAGCAGCAAGAGCGCTTGGAATTCCGAACTTTTCGTGTGGGACATCCCACGCAAGTCGTACCTCACTGACGCCTCTGGTAATACCGACAGGCTCATAATGAATCCGATCATACGGAGTCACCAGACGCAGATTGGGGAGACGTTCTCGAAGAACTGACAGTTCGGTTCGAAGCACCAAACGAGCCAGGGGTGCACCAACGCAGGCGTGGATACCACGTCCAAACCCGAGATGCTGAGTGGTGGTCTTGCGAGCTGGATCCAGAATATCTGCATTCTCAAACCGACTGGCATCCCGACTGCCTGAATTGTGGGCGACAAACAACACGTCTCCCTTCCTCAATAACTGACCCCCAACTTCGACGTCGCGGGTCACGTTACGTCTCATGCCTGTGATCGCAGACTCGTATCTCAAAAGTTCTTCAATGGCCTGAGCCCTGGTATCATCATCTTTTGATATCTGATCCCACAAGTTGTTATGGAGAATATGAGCCATCCCCATTGACAAAACCTGCGTCGTGGTCTCGTGTCCAGCAAACACTAACCCTGGGATCATGGACAGGTGTTCGAAATCAGTCATTTGTAGTCCGTTATCGCGCTCGTTCCAGATATGACTAATAAGATCATCGCGACGGTCAACTTTTCTCTTTTGTATGAGATCCGCGACATAGTCATGGATAATAAGAACATTCTGGATTTGCTCTTCCACCGATTGATCTGGTGCCATGCTCAGACCGTTGAAGAGAGCAAGACAATAGCCTACCCACTCCCAGCGATCTGGTTCCATGCCAGACAAGATCACAATCATCTTCAATGGTAGTGGCAGGGCAAAGGCAGCTTTGATGTCTACCTCGCCCTTGTCAATGAAGCCGTCAATCAATTCATGAGCAGCTTTTCGAATCACTGGCTCAAATCTCTTGAGTCGCCGCGGCACAAAAAAAGAGCTAATACTCTTTCTCAAGCGATCGTGATCCGGGTTATCCCATCCTAACAGTGTACCACGCTCTGGCACTTTTCCCTCAAAAATCTGTGCGAGGTCCGGTGGCATATCGGGCACCGCAGCTCGCGATGCAAACACATCAGGTTGATCCAGGATTTCGACGATATCATCGTATCTCGATACAACAAAAGCTTTGTGAGGGTCACTGTACTCAAGTCCATTCTTCTGCCTGGCTGACGCAAAGTCTTGGAACATGCTCCTTGGGTTTGTAAATGGGCAAGTCATGGTTGCTGCTGCCGTGGCCACGAAGCTGCAAAGATTACCCGATTGTTGCATCGCCAGATATACTGATTCGAGTAAAACGACGAGATTTTGATGTCGATATGGGTCGGAAAGTGGTGCTTATGACTGACAGTTTACACTTTTGTCTTCTCTGCCTTTGCTGGAGATTTTTATTATTCCCTGAAAGATATTCGCTGTATCCGGAACTCACACGGAGTGGCTCAGAGGTTGCGCTCCCCGCGGAGCTCACAATGGCCGCCTACACACCCACATCGGGAATGCAGGCAATCACTTTCCGGCGACATTCCCAAGTCAACAATTTCCCCGGATTAGGAGTATCCTGGCGGGCGTGGGGGTGGAAGCGAGACTGTTCGGGGTCTTTGTGAACTGGGATTTACCCAAGACCCACAGCCACAGTCTCGGCCGAACTTTGTGGTGTTGCTGCAGACCCACTGTACGAAGCAGCACACCAGCCCCGTATTTCCCAAGTCCGACCATTGATCCCAGGCACGGTGATAAAGGCATACCTCAAGCTGGTCTCCAGGAAGCGCGAGGCCTGTGGCAATTTTGTATACATGGGAACATCGGGAGCACAGACCTGAGTCACTCTTAGAGGAAAAGCCGTAAATTTGCAAGGTCCATCGAACTCAACGTGAATATTTGAAATTGAGTTCCGAGGAAAGAATCTCAATCAGCTTGTGTTATTGCCATCATGGCTACAGCACGCTATGAAGCTTGTAAAAGGCAGGCCTTCCATCGTCCATAAGCCGTTAGCTTTTGAATCAAACACGCTCATGTTCGGCGAATTCTTCGACAGCAAGCATAGGAAAGACCAAGTGCACTCTTCGTCCAGTCGTAACTGTCTACTTCGTGATAAGAGGGTTTCTACAAAAAATTCAAGAACCTCCAATTGAAGTAAGCTATATTGTCAGAAGACATTATAGCTGAACCTCTGTGTATACAATCTATTTCCCCTTCAAGGTCTTACGCGCCATGTGAGCAAGAGAAGATATATCCAATGGTGAGATTTTCACCCTTTGCCAATCAGCCAATTTCAGTATTACATCTTGTACAGCTGACATCGTGCTTTCTGAATATCCGAAAGCTATACAAGCTTTCGCATGACTCCCTGCTTGTCGAGTTGCACCTAGCGAGATAATGGCTGCCGTGAGAATTAATTCCGTCTCTGCGAGCGAAAATAGTCCCTGACCTGCGTGGCCTATATTGTAGCTATCAAACTCAAATCAGCACAATTTATCCCTATTACATACACTAAGCATGTACTGACCCAAAGACAACAGAGTCCAAAGCGTACGCCAGGTCTCCCATACAGTCCTTTAGCATAGTGAAAACCTCGCTATTCGCCGACGCTTTGTAGATTTCCAGCCGAGTCTTTGTACCCAGAAGAGTGTGCTGATGTGAGATATCTGGTCTGTATCGAGAGAGTCAGCAAAATCTGTACCAGTCTGGTCAACAAGGCCACATAAATACCTTTGTCTATTCTCCTTCTGGGTTACTGTAATACCCCTTGATCGTAAATAACCAACGACTGCCAAACATGCAGGTATTACCTGAGGAAGGCCAACAAAGGGCCAGATTATGTTGATAACCTCTCGTATTCTGTAGAAGTGTTCCATCACATCATCATTGGTCTGATCCTTCTCGCTTTCTACTAGATTTTGGAAAAGCCCTGCAGTAAGATCCGAACGCTTCAGACCACAGGAGATCGCAACCTACATGTGCAAATAATCAGCAACAACATTATTGACTAAAATGCAGAAACTAACAAGTAGTTCCACTGCAATGCATGGAACGTTGCCTCCATCGTGTTTGCTCAAGTCCTGTCTTAGTTTGTCCAAGAGGTCTTGATTGTATGTGGGCGAGCCCTCCGGTATGTTCGTATAGACATATGTTTTCTGGAAAATTTCGAAATCCATGTCTTTAGCATTAAAAGGCCACGGATGATAGAAGAAGATCAGTAATAACTATGTCTAACATAGCAAAATGACATTGTAGTGTTGATTCGGTCTCAGATGATATACGCAAGGCCAAGTTGAAGTTTTGAAATGATCGCACTCGAATATGAACATTGATCAGACCCTGGGAAGGAAGCACATAAGGGAGAGCCGTGCAAAGCACAGCATACCTGCTCCTCTGCAGTCGCGTCGCCTGTTCGGCCGATTTGCGCTGTGTGACGTGGAGGGCCCGATGCCGACCTATAGATTTTCTTCCGCACCTTCCGCCCACATTTTCGAGAGATCCGAACAAATATGCGGAGAGTAAGCATTGATATGTCGCCAAAACCCAAAGGATGACCAATAGCTGGAGTAGGAATTTCAAACTCCCTGAGCTACATCCGGACATGTCTGAAAGGGTCCCCTACCCCGCAGACGGACGCATACTGACAGGCGCATATCAAGATAACAAGGTACTTCCTTACGCTGGAGTCGGTGTCTTAACTTTCTCTGAAAAATCACAAGACGCGCTGTGGAGGCTTGTTGAGAAAATGATAGATTTTCTACCTAGCGATTCTTTACACGCAAGGATGGAAGATATCAAATAACAAACCAACCGGCCCTGCCTTCTGTGGATGGGAAATTATGGACCGTATGATGTTTTCCACTTTCATATCCACAGTCCTGTGATCATATGTGATTTTGACCATGAATGTGGGATACGGTTGAGTATTGCTCAGCCTGGGCCCTTTCACATTCATACGGTTGTCAGAACTCCCAACGGGAATGACTATGGTAAGGTGATCCCCCGAAAATGGAGAGCGGAAAAAATATTCTACTGTGTAAGATAGATTAATGGAAGGCAAAGCCGGTTTGATAGTGCTCGATTTGCCAAGTGAACGGCTGCAACGTATCATCATAAGTTACTTAAAGGAACATGACCGCTTGTCAAGTCGATAACATGCTTGGGATTGGTCCTCGGCTCGTTCACAGCAAAGGTCTTCCTAGAGCAATTGGTGGCTACTTATTTCACAGCTTCTGGGTTTAGCAATTTGGATGTAGTGGGTTCTACGCATCTCGACCTATGTAAGAAGGTCCCACCCCCACAAGAAGCGCTTCATATAATCAGAACTATTTCCGGTACCCACCCCAGTGGCACACTCGGCCGAAATATGACCTCGACTGACTGTGGTCTCAAATCTAGATTATGATCGGATATGTATCGAATGTCTAGTTGGCAAGTCAATCCCTGAAACCATCATTTGAGCTAATAACCTTCAAAACAGCGATTTTTTTCGATCATATCAACAGGAAGCGTACCGATGGCGTCCTCCTATGTTATCGGTGTCGGTTTGACGCCTTTCAACACGCCCAAGAAGTCTGCGAGTCAATCAGTCGATCCGGATTCTGATTACTTTGACCTTGCGGTTGAAGCAATTGTGAAAGCTCTCCTTGACGCAGGAATCACGTATGACGAGGTCGACCAAGGTATTGGCTGCTATGTATATGGCGATTCAGCATGCGCTCAACGGGTCTTTTACTGCTTGGGTATGACTGGTATACCAATTCTCAATGTGAACAACTGGTGTAGCTCTGGTAGTACTGGTATTTGGCTCGCGAATCAGGCTGTTAGATCCGGAGACAAAGATTGTGTCTTGGTAGTCGGCTTTGACAAAATGTACCCCGGTGCACTGCCTCAGACATTCAAAGACCGGACCAGTCCACTGTCACGAATACTAGATCTTTCAAGTGAGCAGACTTCTACTCTTGACAAGGAAAAGCCGCCGCCTGGCTGGACACCACAGCTATTCGCCAATGCACAAGCTGAATATCTCGAACGCTATTCGAAATATGGTGCAGAAGCTGGACATTTCGCCAAAATAGCCTCGATCAACAGATCTCATGGTATCAACAATCCCTACAGTCAACTCAGTAAAGCTGTCACCGCAGACGATGTACTCAGCAGTCCAGCAGTCTCTGGATCACTGACACGGCTTCAATGCTGTCCATCCTCGGTAAGGAATATGCTGCCCAACTCGCGATACATCTTTATTAATTTTCTGGTAGACTGGAGCAGCCGCTGCCGTAATAGTTTCTAAACGTTTTTTAGCCAGTCATCCCTATCTACAGGGCTTGGCAGTAGAGATCGCAGGTCAAGGCCTTTCGACAGACACTCCAGAGCTTTTCGAAAGTCGCAGCGCGATCGAACTGATAGGATCGAATATGACACGTCAGGCAGTGAAAATTGCATATAAACAGGCGGGAATCACAGCACAAGACATTTCGGTCATTGAATTACACGATTGTTTTACCTCTAACCAGATGTGCGCAATGGAGGATCTAGGGCTTGCTGCTCCTGGAGCTGGATGGAGGCTTGTTGAGGAGGAAAGGATCACCTATGATCAACACTCCATCAAATGCAGTACCGATAAGCGCTGGATTATCAATCCTAGCGGTGGCCTCATCTCGAAGGGCCATCCTCTAGGTGCTACAGGGCTTGCACAGTGTGCCGAGCTCGTCTGGCATTTGAGAGGCTGGACCAAGTCTCGCTCAGTGCCTTTGACCAAATACTGTCTGGCGCATAATATGGGGCTTGGAGGTGCAACGGTAGTCACGGTGTACTGCCGGGCAGATGGGAAAGTGACCCCTACGCCTGGTGAGACTCTACCTGAAGTCGACGGGCGAGCCAGGGTAGGGTATAACCCTGCCGAGGAAGCACGCTCCATCAAGAGATCGGATTGGGAGAGTGTGAGGTCTCGGAAGGCTGGTTTCTCGGCCTGGGCTACCGCCAGATTGCCCTGGGTCCTTAAGGAAGCTGACTACTACCAGAGAGCCAGGCTGTAAGACTCTTCTGGTGAAAATTGAATTCGACTCATAGCACGAGGACATGAAACAGTTGTCGCTCCCAAAGGCGTTGCTGTCAGTTCAAGGCAGCTGGACTAATGTAGGGGAGGACAACTGCCATATGGCCAAGTCCATTCATGTTTTGCTATTGCTTTGAGAAAATCAATTAGTCTGTGCTGGGCTCGGACAGAGATGCCAAGTTTT